AAAGAAAAAAACAGAAAAGACTGATCGCAAATGTACTTTTTTATATTTTTCAATGTCATTTGTTTTTCAATTCACCTTCAACACAAATAACCTGTAAAAAACATAAAAGAGTGCATTTATAATCATTGTTTTTTTTTCTTTTTCTGTAGCATTGCAATACATAAGCACCTCTCTTTCATTACAATGTTATAGAAAAAGAAAACAAAGAAAAAAATAATTGTGAATGTACGTTTTTGTGTTTTTTACATGTTATTTGTGTTTATAATGAACTGAAGTTCAGTTCAAAATACTCACAAGAATTTCTGAAATACAAGTTCGAAGAAGAATTATCAGTGAAATGATATTCTTAGGTATTAATTTATATGAATGTATCTCATTAAATGACATTAATATCATTAAACGCCTCTTTTCAGAATACCAGTAGAGGTATATTGAAAGAGATAAGCACCTATGAAAAACTATACGTAGAAATTTTAAAAACAAAATATGCTGGTGAGTTTCTCAGGATTTGTTTGACATACAATTCAACACCAAAAAATGTTAAATATAAATTATGGAACAAGACTTACATGAGCAATAAAATTTATTTACAACATCAAAGATATAATTTATATTTTAAATATTAAGACAAATGGAAACAAATATTTAAATTAAAACAAGAAAGTTAAAAGTTATTAACAAAAAAATTGATGAAAAAATCAATGTATTTGAAAGTGAATTATTAAAACAGAAAGAAGAAATAAAAATAAAAACAACTCACAAGAATAAAATACAACATTTATCCAATGGTAGTGTGAAATTAGAACAATTTTATTTAAAGACAGTAGTGCATCATATGTTATCTCGTGACTCATCTGCTAAAGAAGAATCTATTTTATCAAAAAGTCTGCAATTCTGTATTGAAACGAAAATCCAAAACAGAACAGAATTAAAAACTGTTATTAAAATGATGACCTATATCATCTTAAAACAATTAGAAGAGTCAACAACAAAGTTTCTAGATCAATATATTTCCGATTGTATAAAAAGAGCGCCTTATCAATTATAAAAAATGAATAAAAATTCAAGTGAATTATTAGTATTAAAATCATTACTGAAAGATGAAACAATTGTAATAATGAAAGTTGATAAAGGATCGTCGCATGTGTTATGATGTACTGTGAATTTTCTCTTAAATTCTATTCTGTATAAAATAGAACTTAAATAAGTTACAACATTTTGAAACTTTTATTATTCATTCTTCGAATTTCAAGCATTAAAAATAAAGGCTTGACTTTCTAAATTGTGGAAATTCAATTTGATGTTCGACAAAATGAAATAATCAATACTGATTGTAAGAAAAACTTAACGATTAATTTCAATGTGGAGAAAATCATCATCTCAATTATGATATGTTTCTTATAAGTGTTTTAGAAGATCAATTCATATAATTGATCACGATATTAGATGATAGTATATGATTTGTGTCCTTAAACAAATTTATATTGGGATCAAATAAAAAGATCTTTCATTTCTACGATTAATGGCCCGCGTTCTTTTCAGTATTTAATTTTAATGGAATAAATAATAGAGTACATGCGTATATAAATAATACTTTAGTTTGCAAATTCTATTAAAATTAAAAATTAAAAAAAGTGCTTTAAATAAACAGGAATTTGCAAGATTAACATAACTACTCTGTTTAAGCAGTCACGACATCATTTATTCATGTCTATTGATGATCTCTTTTTGAGATGAGCAAAATAATGGTTTGACGCATATTGGTCTAAATGTTAACTTAAAAAGATGTATTTTTGTTGTAATACTGATTCTTGCATCACAATAGCCTGCTACTCCAATTCATGTAACGTAAGTCTTCTCTAGAAAAGTAGTTCGCATATTATGGAAGTTTCTCTGATCATAAGAGAGAAAATAGATAATACCAGATATGAGATTCGAGATTTTTTTTTTGTGTTCTATTTGTTGGGTCGAGATAAATAATGCATTTTATTTGTGGAAATAAAATGCATTATTTATACCGAAATAAATTTGGTGATTTATCATCGTTTTATAGCTATGATATAATGACATTGAAAAAATACGTGTGGTGCTTTGAAGTTAGTCCATCAAATCTTCAGACCATATTGGGTAAGAATGAATTTTTAACAAATAGACACAGAAGACTATTCTTATGTAAATAATCAATATTTAGTTCGTGTACCTTATTGTTTAACTCTTGTTGAACAATTTCTTTTCTATGATTTAATGCTGATATATCTATTCAATGTGTTGACAAATATTTCCTATTTTATTTCATTTTTTCTTCTACTCTAATTTAGATTGATAATGTATGTAAAGTACTATTGAAGATATCTTGACATAGTTGGTTGAGAATGACTTTGATAAATACGTAAAACAATTTCAAGGTATCGACGAATCATCTATTATTTAATTAATCAGTCTATCTTTTTATATCTTTTTTTAGCAGATGATACCGATAGTTGGCCTTTATTACATTTAAACTCATCATCAATTGAAGTACTATTATCGTTTAATACAGTTGATAACATTATTAAAAAACCAATCATCACTACAAAAACAGTGTTCAAAAAAAAACTGGAGAAGTCGAGAAAGAATGTTTGTTCAACTGAAAAGTGTTTATTCATTTGTATTAACTGATCAGCTGTGTTCTCTTTCCTTATCTTAGTACAGTGGTGACACAAAAAAAAACAATCTTATATGCTTATACAGCGGTTGCACTCTAATAAATCAAACAATTTATCATTTTTTAAATGATTTCAATATCGACAGTGAACATCACGATGTTGAACATTGTCATCAGTTCTACGTGTCTCTATCGGCTTCGTACGCATCGAAGCAATTACTTGATCCATCTTTATCTATGCAAACTATTGAAAGCTTACTAATACACCACATAACGTAACGATTATTCATCAACTACTGAATAATTCTCAACAAGCTGACAAAATCTCAATCAAAAAGAAAAACATTGAATTGCATGCTTCCAAGGTTTGATAAAGCTTTTGAAGAAGCTTCTGAAGATTCATTAACCGCAGACTTTTGAGCATGATATGGAAGTAAATAAAAATTAATTAAAACAATTCGTTGTAGTGCGATTAATACATATGTTGTTGAGTTTTATTCAACAGCATTTGAATTCGATCAAATGATAGCTAGCATTAAAAATAAATATTCAGCACTTGATATAATACTTGGTGAAGATATGGTATGTTTGATAGAAGGTCGTTTCATCTTTATTTCAATTTTTTTCTTATTTAAAGTTTTCTTTGGCATGAGCATTAAAACAACAATTCTCTTGTGATCGACAACTATTCGATTATTCGTCTGAAGTATTGGTGAAAAGAACAACAATTATATAGCCATCAAATACCACGACGAAAATTGGAACTAGTGAAGGTTGGATGTGACCGTGGGCGTGGCATGTGCGAGTGCGTGTGAGTGAACGGAAAGTCGTCACACATCCACACATATACTCACAGCCGCACCCACACATTCCAGCATAGTTTCATAAAATATCAAGTGATTAGTTATAGTAATTATCTGGATTGCTCCTGGTTCCCTTTTTATGCATACTGTACGGGATGAGAGCTTGAGTGTGGTTAGACATTTGTCCGATACAAAAATTCTTATCCTTTTCCATATGACTTTATAACATCCATGACTACAAGTCATCAATGATTCGTGTTTTATTGAGTAATCTATCGAAAATCTCAAATATGATTTAAACCATTTTTCTCAGATTCGATAAGCAACACCTAAGTAGTGTTAACTTCGATGCTGTCAAGACTATCGGAAAGTATAAGAATGATTAGTTCATCATATGTTTGTGTCAAAATCAAAGGATATGATTCATTTAAATGTAAACATGAATTGCAAGCATGACCGAAAAAAAGTCTTATTTATCAATCAAACATAATTACGATTCGTCGTCTAAGTTGTATGGTGAATAGTCAGCAGGACCGAGCAAATATATGGTTTTATTCCCAATTATATTTAAAGTAAAGTATTCTTCTTACATCAGTATTGTAATATACAACGAATTCCATCATTCGTCAGTTAAACAAATCAAATGGCGCGATTACTTGTTCAACTTATATTGATCAATCTTGTTCTTTTATTCGTGGTTTTAATCTATGCTTATCGGCAAAGCCGCTATGAAAGAAGCGCACCATTTGTGACTTCGGTCAATATATATGTGGCACAAGATGTTACGGTATTGGGTAATTCTGTTTTTCTGGTAATATTATCTGTAGTTCACCAGAACAACTGTGTGGTACACAATGCTATGGTATAGGATAACAATGCTTTCCTGATGGTATTGTTTGCAGCTTTGGAGAACAATTCTGTGGTACACAATGTTACAGGATTGATTACCATTGTTTGAATGGACCAAATT